ATCGTAATACTAATCTTTGAATCGTAATACTAATCTTTGAATTGTAACAGTAATCATTAAATTGGATCATACTACTCTTTAAAGTGCAATACTTATCATCAAATTTAATCAATATTAATCATAATCAATTGAATCAATTTGAATCATCAAATGAAATCAATACTAATCATTGAATTAGATCAATGACAAAGTTAGTCTGTATCTTCGTAAAGAGGAAGCACGCAGCCACAAGTAATTAAAACAAGGAAGTGGTTGAACGAAACAAATTCCATTTATTTCCAATTAAGTTGGATAAACTGCTGGATAAAGAACTATTACAATCATGAAAAGTGAAAGTAAGTAATTGTATTTTGTTTAAACACAAATCACACGTAGCGTAAGTTTTATCGTTATTCAAAATACTAAGTAAAGTCAGATCCATCCTATTACAAAAGCTCCTATTAGCAAAACTGTTCACTGGGCGTAAAATCAACAAGAACTGAGAGCAATTTCAATTATAAAAGTGATAAGAGCAGAACATCATCTCAGGACTTGTACACTAAGAGCTCAGCTCAGCTTAACACATCAAATGTTAACTTGACTTTGAAAGTCGTAAAGGCCCTTGCTAGAGTTGTTACAAGACATACCTTTTCAAATAGTTTCATTTCACTTCTTAAAAAGTAAGTTTCATCTAATTTGTACAAGGCTCTCTGTATGAGTAAAGTTGGGTTCATAACGATCAGAGAATATTTAGAGAACTTCTGTTTTTATTGCATATAAAAAGCAGTCATAAGAAAACAAAGCCCCAGGATCCCAAACAATAATATAAAATACAAAAAAAAACAATATTTAACATCCCCTACCATACATATAACCCAAACATGTATACTCCAATAGAATAATTCAATTAATTAGCTTATCATGAAATCATTGTGTAACAATTTGCAAAATTCTACCAACTTTTTGCATTTGAAGAGTCCTCAAAAAACGGAAAAACCAGGAAAGTTGAAATTGACACTGATACTTCCCAACATGAACTGCAACATACTATCTAGTATATTAATCTGATTTGGAAACACCATACATACTCATAGACTCATATATTGACAAATATGTGAACTTTTCACAAAAAAGCAAATCTTTAACTAAAATGAGATAAAAGTAGGAGTTTGGTAAAGTAGGAGTTTGGTCCAGCATGCCCGTAGCCAGGGGGTGTTCGATGGGTTGGACCGAATCCCCCTGGCCAAAAAATCTTTCAAAATCATGCACTTTTTCACCATTCTGAACACTTTTTAAGTGATTTTGGCCATTTTTGGACCAAAATTGTCACAAGTGAACCCCCCTTGAATTTTTCAAAAATTGAACCCCCCTCGGCAAATCCTGGCTACGGGCCTGTCCAGTGTTGTATATTTCCAACACGGACCTCCATAAAACCAGATATGAGCTGTAGTAGACACGACAGTTTTTATTTGTAATTTATAACATGAGAAAGAACAATATGGCACTAAAAAACCTGCACTATCATTATGTAGATTGAAAAGTTGCTCCATGACTCTTCTAATTTTGTTATTGGAGGATGTCATGAAACATCCATTACTGCAAAGTATACTTAAAAAAGACAGTTGGTATTTTATCTTATATAATTCTCATTATTTAAATTGAGAGAAATGTTCACTGATTGGGCTATACATGGTTCCAAATTGAGCTTTTATCTCATTTCAATATAATGTCTCAATTTATCTATTATCGTGACTTTTAACCAATGAAAATAGTTATTTATTATATTTCCTCGACACAATAATTGATAATTTGAATTGTTCTCCCACATTATAGGTGATATTAATCATTAAGAATCATTTGTGGTTGACATGAATGTGCAACATTGAAAAAGAGGATAATTCTGCAAAAATAAATAAATAAATCATCTATAGATTAATGGCTTGAACACATGATAGAACATTAATCAATATACAGGGTGAGTCAAAAAACTGTAGCTCCACTCAATTCTAAATTCCTGAAGATTTTCCTAAAATAATCTTGAGAATTACTCAATGTTATTTGTTCATGCATAAATCAACTAAAATTTCAATGCCTGAACTGATGATTTTTGTCAAAATGCTAGTGGAAAGTGGAAAGTTTAAACCACTTGGGCTTATTTTAGTCTTACCAATGTCATCAAGATATGATACCGTATTATCTCTATTAAATGCACAGTGCGCTTAGCAAATTCCCGTGGGGGAGAGGTTTCAAGCAGCTAAATCCCCGGGAATTCTAAAACATTATGATGGTGGGCGATAATGGGTGAAAATTTACTTCTATACCAAAAATACCTATAGTAGATATGTGCGTTTATTAGAGAGAATATGCTATATGTTATGTTTTTACCTTGAATTGTGAGCTCCTAGACGACAAATTTAGCATATAAATACACTATTGTGTGTTATTTACACGAACACCTGAAGAAATTTCTTACGTTGCATGATGGGAAATCGTGACGTCATGAATCATGATGCATTATTTTAACGAACGGTGAAAATACTCTATTATCGCCCACAATGTTTTTTTTATTAGAGCTTCATCAGATCTCAATATTATCTGGACAGGACTTTCTAGCCTGGGACAAAAAGTCGGGTGTGCGTTTATTAGAGAGTGTGCATTTAATAGAGATAATACGGTATGTGAAAATTTTGTTTATACCAAAAAGTGCTAAGCTAAGAACAACTTTTTTGTCTGAAAATATTGAATATTTCACCTTTGCAATGAAATAACATTTTGGGAATCCCAAATTGATCTGGATAATGAAGATCATGATTAAATAATTGAAAGAGCATTACGATTGGAGACATTTCATCGTTGCAACTGATCAACCACATTCAGTGTCAATATGAAGCAAATCCCATCAAATCTTATTTTGCTGATTTTAAGTTTCTTTATATTTGAATTGGTGTCAGACATAAATATGATTGAGAATTATAGAAAAGGCAATTCATTTAAAATGAAATTTTATCCACAGTGACATCTATATGAAAACCAAGTACAATCAGTATCGAGTAATTTTTGGAACGTGAATGACGTACTCCAGGCAGCTTGGTGAGTAAAAATTTATTTTGAGGGCATGACGGCCCTCTGTGCTTTTGGGAAACATGCATGGAATTTTAGAGGCCATAAGGGGCACTCTAGGTCGAACACGCTTTGGGAGTGTGTAGAAATATATGCCTTGGGGGCGATATTGCTTTTGGGAAGCATGCATGGAATTTTAGAGACCATAAGGGGCACTCTAGGTTGAACACACTTTGGGAGTGTGTAGAGATATATGCCTTGGGGGCGATATTGCTTTTGGGAAGCACGCATGGAATTTTAGAGGCCATAAGGGGCATTCTAGGTCGAACACGCTTTGGGAGTGTGTAGAGATATATGCCTTGGGGGCGATATTGCTTTTGGGAAGCATGAATCATGGAAAGGTCATAGCTAAGAGATGCATAAGGGCATCCATCCTTTGGGAGGGTAGATTATGCTTGAAGTTTGGTAAGGACATAGCAAATAGGTGCATAAGGGCACAATGTTTGGAACTGAAGAGAGAGTTATTATGCTTTGAGGCAACAATGATAATGGCACGCAATTGGAGATCGTGCAATGTTTCTTGGGTGCGTAATTTGCTAGATTGGGACGACATAATATTTTGGTATCTACACGCATGAATGGGTTGTTTGCGTTATAATACGAGGTCAATATTGTGGTGTAAATCTCAAGGACTTATCGGGTTGATTGAATTGTAAGTATTGCACACAAAATAAACGACTCTCATTGGTTGGAGGGGAGTATTCATAGTAATTGGCATGAGTGAGTAAATTCAATGAATGAGACTGCCACGTGTTTGGCACACTGACACATGAGTTTCATTGTTTCGTACGTAGGAAAGCTCAAGATCGATTGTGATATTGGTAAGTTTGCTTGGTTATCTCTCGATATTTTTTAGATTTTATACATGGAACCTGAATACAAAGTTTATTTGGCAGATGTATACGACTTGTTTATTAGACATCACGATGGAAGAATAGAATTGTGATGTTTAGGTTGAAATCCCGGGTAAAACATAACTTTGAAATATATTTGCAGAGAATGGCGAAGGATACGGTACTCCTTGACAGACACGGAATTAGGGCGGATTTATTGTGCATCTTAATAAAGAGGGTGAGGGATGTGGAACCAGAAGTACTGCCAAAAAGGGTATTCTTTAAGAAAGGCGGAGTGGACGTAGACTCAATGACAATGGCGCAGTTGGAAGGTAAGATTACTTGATTACATAAAGGATAACAGTGAGATATATTAGAGTACGGGTGTATCTCGCTTCCATACTTATTATGAGCTGAAAAGATTTCTTCGGAAAAAATTATGTTTGTTAGTTGAAATGTTATCATGAGGAATTGTACGTTGTTTTGATTTGTTGCTGGATTTGAGCGTTCTGCCAGTAGCATGATGGTGTATTTGGACTCGTATGTTTTGTTTTCGTATTCATTTTATTTGGTTGTCGACAACAACGTTTACACGTCACTATTGTGCATTGAAGGTGTAGTCTACGTTAAATGATACGGAGTTATTGTTATTTGTAGAAAACTGGAATAATCTTTGTGATGAGCCAGGGTTGGGTGAACTGTTGACAATGGCGGGGAAACCGACAGCAACGGAAGCGGAACAGAAGAATGCTATTAAGATAGCGGTGTTATTGGCTAATGATAAAGGTCAGCCCAAGGGACAGAAGATCTCGGTGAGTGAGAATAGAAATTGAAATGAACATGATCGAAGAACGTCACATGTGTATGTTTACGTTTAATATTTAAGAGGCTGTACAATGTTTAGAAGTTTTGTTAGAATGATAAGTGGCAAAGGGAGATAATTTGTGTCTCATGCACACGTTTCAAAACATCATACATGAGTAATGTGAGTATATAGATAGTAATATGCTTATTCAAATATGTTGATGCTGTGAGGGGTTATGTTAATTCAATTTTCAATGTGTTGCAGGTGGCAGCAAAGACAAAGGCGACTCCAGGTACGTCGTGCGGGATCTAGCGAGACGTCAAGAATGGAGACGCCACCGTCTGCAGACAATGATCTAGCATCGTTGAAGAGAAAGATAGAAGAATTGGAGGGCAAGGAGAAGGAGAAAAAAGAGAAGAAGGTGAGCGATGTGGTAAAAAAGATCCGCAAATTGTGTATGCAGAAGGAAGTTAACAACTCTGAATTGATTTCAAGATTGGACGATCTAACTGAACTGGCAAAGAAGACAAAGCATAAGGACCATGATCTTTTTGAGGAGGTATCAAAGTATACGTCCAAATACTCGGATAAATTGGATATCTCTAATTTTGTAATCACAAATTTGTCTTCTTCGGGTGACAAAGTAATGAAAAGTTTGGCCAAGTGTTTAAAAGCAAGTGAAAAATCAAAACCAGTTTCTGAGGCTAAAGCCAAGTCTGAGATTGGGGAAAATTCTCAACAAGGTGGACAACAAATCTGGCAAGGTGGGCAAGGGCAAAACTGGCCAATGCAATTTCCTATGTTTGGGATGGGTCTTTCAGGATACCAACAAAATTATTTCCCTCGCCAACGAGGTAGGGGGAGGGGAACTGGTCGTTTCAATAATAGTTACAACAATTACAATAAAGTATGCGATTTTTGCGGAATTTCAGGGCATCTTATTAGAACTTGCGAGGCGATGAAAAGGGCAAAGCCTCAGAAATAATATTATATGGTGTTGAGTAATTAAAGTGATAATTTTGTGATTGTGATCAACTGATTTGTTAAAGGCATACCATTTACTGTATAAGTGGTATTTAATCCGAGTGGTTAATTTTCCGAATGGTCAAATTTCATCATTTTCCTAATTTTAATTTTCCTAATGACAAGAAACCTCCCATTGGATAACATTATAAAGACAATATTTCTGACATTTAATTTTCCGAACCTGGCAAAAATTAGGAAATAGGCAAATTAAATGATTAGGCAAAATTACCACTTATACAGTATTTTGTTAGTTGTATATAGTTATATCTTGAAGTTACTACATGTATAGTCCATGGGACACTGATCCTTAGTGAAATTATTTCACGCGGACTATGTGTGTAGAAATTTCATTATCATTCGAGGGTGAGTGATGTCTGACTAATTTCTTGTAGAGTGATTCAAGTTCGTTTAGCAGAGGATCTGTACCTCAATGGGAGTTGGAGGCTAATTTCCATCCTGATTTAGTGGATATAAGAAATTCGTCAGAATCAACTAAACTTTCGAATGATGATGGGATTTCTCCACACATAGTTCGTGAGCATTTACCATCTGCAGAAAATGTTATAGATGGCAATGTCAGCCAGTTTGATTATAGTGAGTTGCCTATTTGGGATCCTGAATATTTTGTGGCAGGGATGTTACACAGCTTAGTGTTTAGAAATGAATGGGAAAAACTCTTAATAAATTATCAGGGGAATGATCCGAATATTATGGACTGGTTGTGTAATGGAGTGGACATTTCAGAATACTTTGTACACTTTAAGGGCTCTTTCAAGGGGAAAGCATATGATAGTGATACACCCCCTAGAAATTTCTTTAGAAATGCTGAAAGTTGTATACCGTTTGTGGATTTTATAGCTAAAACATTGGAAGATAAAATAAAAACGGGTGCTATTAAACTTCTGGGAAGACTTGGGGATTGCCAAATGCCACATGTTGTCATGCCTTTGTTAGTAGAACCGTCAAAACCACGTTTATGCCACGATGACCGTTATATCAATTTATGGATGAGGGACATACCTTTTACATTAGAAACACTTAGGGAGGTGCCAAGAATGGTCAATAGTGGTGCTGTATTGTTTAGCTGTGACGATAAAAGTGGATATGATCATGTCCTGCTGTCTGAGAGTTCTCAAATGTATTTTGGGATTGTGTTTGGGGAGTGGGTCATGGTATATAGAACTATTCCATTTGGTTGGAAATTGAGTCCGTATGTATATCAGTCACTCGGGATGGTGGTTACCTCATACTTGAGATCCCTCCAAATATGCACAATGCAATACATTGATGATCGGCTATTTGTGGTCAATAGGAAACCTAGTGAAGTGGAAGAAGAGTTTGAATTCAGGCAAAGATGTACAATCTATGCCTTTTTGAAGATATTGTCAGATCTTGGTTATACGTTAGCTATACGAAAGTGTAATTTTCAGCCCACAACGTGTTTGAGATATCTTGGTTTTTTGATCGATTCCAAGTCGATGTGTTTTCATCTTCCAACTGATAAGAAGGAGAAGTTTTTGGAATTCATGTCCTATATACTATCAAAGGAAAAAGTTGATCAAAGTCCTAAAACGCTGGGTAGGTAAATGCATCTCCATGATACTGGTAGTCCCAGGAGCCAAGATGTACACAAAAGTAGCAAATAATTCACTTTCTAAAGCAATGAGAAATAGTAAATTGGTCGAAATGTCTGATGACTTGTTGAGAGAAGTTCAATATTGGAGGTTTTTGGAAGGGTATGTTCCCTGGAGAAAAGAGTGTCACAAAAATCTGGTTCTTGCCTCAGACTCTTCACTATATGCGTATGGTCTGGTTCTAGGGGACTCAATTCCAGGACAAGAAAATCAGGGTGTCATATCTGATTATTGGGAAGGTGACGACTCCCGTCCAATCCATCTTAAAGAAGCACATGCTGTTTTAAACGGTGTGAATGCATTGTCAAATGAATTGCAGAATTGTAGAGTCAGGATCATGGTGGATAACCAGTCAGTAGTCCAGTCGTGGAATAATGGTGGCTGTAAATCGTTGGAATTGAATGACATATTGAAATCTATTTTCATGGTTTGTCTTGAAAAGAATATTGATCCAAGTCTGTCCAGAATATCTACATTAAACAATCCCGCTGATATGCCTTCAAGAAGGCTCTCAAACATGGATGCAATGTTGCAGCCGGGAATTTGGGCAATAATTGAACACAATTTTGGGCCTCATTCAGTAGATCTCATGTCATTAGATTCCAATAGTTTGGTCGATCGTCATTTTACGCCCTCCCCGCTTCCAAAATCATCGGGGGTAGATGTATTCAGTCAAAAGATAGAGACTGAGACTAATCCTTATGTCTTTCCTCCTTTCTGTATGGTACTTCCAGTTACAAGATATTTGGTTGAGAGAAAGGTTCAAAGATGTACTATTGTTGTGGCTGAGAGATGTCCATTAGATCCCTGGTGGCCAGTATTAAATACGTATTCAGTGTCTAAAATATTTTTGGCAGGAATCGGCTCAAAGGAGGCATTGTTGTACCCAAGTAAAAGGGGATTTATTAAAGATCAGTATGGCTTGAAATTCAATTTGTGGGCATTCAGAGTGTCCATGTCATGAACAAACGTTTTCCTGTCTTGTAAGCTTTCAGGCATGGTTAGATGGCAAACCAATATATCTTAGTATAATAGATGGTAGAATTAAGGAAATTGAAAAAATGCGTCCGAACAAGGATATATAAGGAAGTCAACAAAGTTGTTTAAAACATTTCAGACATTTTTGGAGTGTATTGGGAGTGTATTGGGTATCGGTTCATAATGCTGGTCCAAATGAAGTGAAGAGTTTTTTGGTGTGGAAGGATTCGTTTGGAAAGACAAAAGTTCATGAGCCAAGTTGTGCATATTTGGGGAAAAAGCTCAAGGGAGATATACATTGTTGTTGCCCTACACGATTAGCATCGGGGACGTTAGAGGGTATGGTACATCAGTTAGCTAGAGAATTCATCCTTATTGGGAGGGGGGAGTCCTGGAATTGTGCTCTCGGTGATGGAAATCCTGCCAGGTCACCTGATGTTAAACAGTATGTAAAGATGATGAAAGAGGAACAGGGGAAAGGTCACGTTATTCCTAAACAAGCCAAACCCATATTCAGGTCAAAAATTTAGAAGATCATGGGATTCATTGATCGAGAGCTACAAGTTTTCAGATTTGAGCAATAAATTGAGATACATTTTGTTGAGAGACCAGGCGTTTTTCAAGTTACAGTTTCTAGGGGGTGACAGGGCTGGGGATTTATCCCATTTAAAATCTCAGGAAATAACCAAATTGGTCGATGGTTCAGGATTCTGTATTTCTCGAAGCTTTGGTAAAACATTGAGGGGAGGAAAGAGCAACACATTTGTCTTGAGAAAATGTGAGGACAAAATTATGTGTCGGGTAAAGGGATTAGAAGATTATGTTCAAGTTATGAAAAGTGAAGGGGTGGATTTATCAGTTGGGTATCTTTTTCGGCCAATGTCAAATTCAGGTATAATATTGGAGGAACCGTTGAAGTATAATGCTATTCATGATTGTCTGAAATATTATCTAGCAACGTTAGGTTTGGATGAAGGGGAGACCCCCCATAGCTTGAGGGCAGGATGTGCGTTAACAATGGTGCTTTCCGGGGCTGCAACATCCTCCTCGGAGGTGATGCGTCACGTAGGTTGGTTCACAGATGAAAGCGTACAATATTATACACGGGCAGGATTGCTAAAAGATTCTGAGAGTGTTTCCAGTAGGTTGGCAAAAGCTGTTGTAAATAATGACGAGCCAGAAAATATTTTTAGGCAACATACTACATCTCTGCCAGCGTTTCAGCAATAAATTGTAGAACGTTTTTGTAATAGTGTATGTGAAGTATTGTAAAATAAGTGCATTAATGATGTCACTATGTTATTTTGAGTTTGGAATAATAAAGTTATAAATGAGAGTAAAATATTTTTCGTTATTTAAGTATTGGGAGGAGAGAAGAGAATAAAAATGTTATGTCACCACCAGAAGTGGTGACATATTGTATCATGATGCATGATATATCGAGTATATGCATACGCAACTGACATTTTGCCCCAAACCTTAATGTGAAGTACTGTTCGAAGTATATATGTCACTTTGGGAAGGGTACTATCCACAGTGACATCTATATGAAAACCAAGTACAATCAGTATCGAGTAATTTACGGGTTCGTGGAAGGGACTTTGTACCCGATGGTGGAGTTGTTGTTAGTGTTTGTATATGGTGATTAACTCACAGTAGTAATTGACATATTTTCCCGGCCCACCCACCCATGTTTGGGCATATGAAATAGATGGATGTGATCTAAACTGATCGGTACTTCACACAACATTTTGCCCCAAACCTTAATGTGAAGTACTGTTCGAAGTATATATGTCACTTTGGGAAGGGTACAATCCTATTCATTACAAGTAATGTGTTCTTATATATTTTATGATAAGCTTCAGTACTTTAGCATGTATCTCTGGTGGTCACAGCTGATCTAATAACTGGTTCTGGTAAAGGTTTCCATTATATTTACATGAATAAAATGTATTTTACAGAGTAGCGTAACTAGAAATTGCAACTCGAAATGTGTCATAGTATAATATAGTCTTACATAAGAGAGGTCTTAATTTTTGAAGATTTTCGTATGAGGTGATCCTTTTGGGTCATAAATAAGATAAATAAAACAGTAATATTCTGATCTACTCAAAAATAAGTTATTTTATTATCTTCTAGTATAATAACGTCATACTTTAAAGAAATTTCAAATTACTGCCAACTCAAACATAAGCTGGCCATTTTGGAATTTTGTGTAAAACAGAGACTGCATGGAAAGAGGCAACAATTTTAAAGAGCAATTTGTAAAATGTGTATTGTTATTGTGCCACTTAAACTATTGACAGAGTAAACCTGATTCAACATGTACTTCCAAGCCTGATAAACTGATGGAAATCCTCAATTACCAACAATGAGTGTTTCCTGAAAATAAACCAATAAAATTAGAATATCTGATTAACCCAGACCTCCTTCTAAGCATGATTAATATATTTACCTGATGACCCCATTATTCAATGCAATAAAAAAGATGAATCTGTAACACCCTTCAGTGTTCTCCCCTGGATTTTGTCTCAAGTGGGTGCAAAATTCTCATTTTCACAATGTCAAAATTTGGTCAAAATTTGCCCATTTTACATGATTTTCCTCATTTTCAAGTGGGTGCAAATGAAATCTCATGTGGGTGCAAGCCTATTTTCAAAATCTCAGGTGAGTGCTGCACCCACTTGCTTTAATGCTGGGGAGATCACTGTGATTGTTAATTAAGCGATGGTTGGGGTTAATAAGATTTCAGTGAACTGTAACTTATCTCTTTCTTTTACACAATCAATCAATGTCTTGTTTTTAAGACTGTCTTTATAGTGTCAATAGCAACAAAAATGTTAACATACCGATAAGACACATTAACAATACAAAACAAGAATACCTGAAATGACAGTTAGAAGAAATGAAGTCATTTAAATGGTACTCCGTACAAGTATATGCATATTATTCATGTCAAATAAGAGTGTTTTACCCTTTGCATTCATTTGTCTTTGCTTCTTAAAAGAGAGCTTCATCTTCACTTTTTCAGTTTACACTAAATCTCTGAACTCAACGAGCCAATCTGAGTTTGTCGTCGAAATTGGAAAACAATCTATATATGGTCATTTCCTCTGATACCATCACATAATTAATGAGCATGCATTTAGCGTGTGTTTCTTCCAGTTTGCTGATTGGTAAGGTCAGAGCTGTAGGTTTGAAATGATCTATGACCCAGGCTGTCATGGACACCAGTTGTAGGGGCGGGGCTGCTAAACTGTAATATAGTCTATACTAGGCAGAGGGTAGTTATATTTAAACTCTTATATTTAAACTGTATTGATCAACTATTACTACGATCCCAGCTGTTTTAACAACAACTGACAACCTGTCAATCATTTATAATTGGATTCTTAAAGAACATCTCTAGTATATCTTGTGAAAAACTGGGAGATGCTTTTAAAAAAATCATTTCTGAAATCCCAATGTCAACAGCTTTAAAATGGTGTATTGTAAGTCATGTACCATTTTGTGCATTAAGTTTCTTCGAGATTTTGTGGAAATTTTGTAGGCCTATGTGCTCACAACACAAATGACTCTAAAATAACTTGTAATAATTAATACATAAATTCTATTTGACAGATAATGTTAAATCATTTTGAACAAATATTTTGATTTAATTATTTTGAAATTAAATGTAAATGAAGTTTAAAAACCAAACAATTAAGACTTCATTTCAGATGCAAAGCACATTGAATTCTTTATTAGCTTCCATTACTAACAATTGCCTCATCTGAGATTAGTAATTTGTGATTCATGTTTCTAAGTTAATCATGGTATTTCCTGAGCTTTACTAAGATATGTAATGTGATGAATCAAGACATTACAAAGACTCTTCAACAGAGCTTTTTCTATTTTTGTGCCAGTATGATTTGAAAATGGCATTTAAACCCTCAGTCAACGCAACTCAAAATGATTTTTTTCAAATATTATGAACTAACAGACAGCATTTAATGTTAAGAACAGGATGCTCCAAGCTGATTGATTTTAACAAGATTTTAAAATCGAAATTTTCTGAAAATACATGACCAAACGCTGTGTTCTTATTGACAAAAAAAATAAATAAAAGTAGAAATAGGTATGATACTTGTTTTTTGCTTCAGTTGTTTTCATTCAGTTTTTTCTCATTTTATATATCTTTCCAGTGTGTGTGTTAATTTTCGCCAACTGACTTTCATTGCCTGACATTCATGAATATATAAGCACAAGTGCCAAAGGGAAAGGACCAAAAGTTGTAATGGAACTCAGCAAGAAAAAGCAAACTCTAAGTGCATACCAGTCAAGAAAAACAAACCCCATATAGCCCAAAACCATGATCTAACGTGAAAAGAAACAATGTCTAATACCCCCTTTCCCCCCACCATTCAAGAACCAATATCACAATCCAAGACCAGAAGACCAAGGGACATTTCATTCATACTGAAGTCATTACAATACATGTTGAAGAAAAAATTAGAAATTGATAGCCAATTGAAAGCCAATACTCATAACCTCAAAAATAGTTGAAGATACAAGTACTCATACAAGATAGAGCATTCAGTCTCAAATGATGTGGGATAGATAAAATCCAGTATCCAAGTCCATAGGCGTTTCAAAGGGTCAACATCCATTCACAAAAGCCGTCGCCATAATCCATAAAACACAATAATTCACAATGGTCATCAGGAGAAAACTATGGCTGGTTTCGATCCCTATTTCTCAACCATTAATGCCATAGCTGGGATCCACCTCAAAAGGTGCCAAGTGAAAATATTGTGAGTTCATTGCCAATGTCTTAAACAATTCCTACATCCTTCAGCATCTCAAGTGGTAAAACTTGAAACTTCGAAATGTATGTATGTAGGCCCTACTAAAATTTCCTGCCAATTTTAGCCATTACTAGGCAACTCTTGAACTTTTCCATCATGATAAACCATGACATCTCATTCTTCTCAGCCCTGAGATGTTTCAGGTGAAAACTGAAAGATGCTATAAGTATCAGAATTCAACTTTTTCAGGTCATAGTAATCTAACTTAGTTTTCCATGACTTTTCCAAGATGTCAGTAACACTGACATTTTTCATAGATTTTTATTGATTACAAGTTAACCAAACTTTTCTCTTCATCAATCATTTCTATTTATTAAAACTCTGTGACCTAAGGCCAGGTTCAAGATATATCTAGTACTTTCATTCATTTATTCATTTAATAAACTGCTTTACTATTATATGCTTCAAGAAAGACCAATGTTTGCATTATCACCACTTCATGATTGACCTTTATCTTAGGTTAGCTATATTACAAGACTTCATTTGAATAAATGGATCTCTTTATAATCAAAGTAAGAAGTTTTTCATCTATATTATCCTTTTGGGAGATGCATTTTGATGCTTGCAAAAATCAGTCAACTGGTCAACCTATCCACCACTAAGCTCGCTACAATTTGCAAAAATAGCCATTAAGGGGACCTATAACGAAAAGGGTCCAATAATTCATATACATGAAAGACTCAGTTAAAAACTAAAGGATTGTTAAGCTCAATGAATGTTAAAACTTAATGCAGATTCTGAACAGGCTAAAGATGGAGTCCCTGTTTGAGACATATATGATGACGGAGACATAGGAAAATGTCTATTTGCCAGATTACATATTCAAATATTCTAAAAATAACAAATCTGTCAAATTAATCTCTAATGATTAATGACAAGATATAAGAAAACAAATGATTCGATTAATCAAGATTTGAAGTTCTCAAGAAGAATTGATGGTCAAGTCTATGAAATCATCAAGTATTCTGGTTGTTAATCAAGTGTGAATATGACCCTATCTCTTTCTAACGAGTCTTTATGTTTTCTTATTCAAAGTTATTGTGACCAAGAGAGAACATGCCAATAATCAAATAATGAAGTGAATTAGTGAAACCAATATTGTTGAAATTCAATAATGTTGAAAATTAATACTTTGAATTAGAGTCATTGTATTCCTTGACATTTCGATAAAGCTACCTAATAAATGAGGAATCTTATTATGGTTCTTTAAGGACAATGCATAAGGCATTTATCCAGGGGGAATTGCTATATGGTCACTATCCTCATTTATATATAACTGACCTTATTGATTTTAATGAACCATTTTTCCAACCTTGAGTGACCAGAACATGAAAAGTAGATTAAATAATGTAAATCATGTATCACCTTTGTTCAATCCAATCCCTTTGAATGTAGTGAAAACCAAGTGTGTGAAGATGATTCTGTAGAGGTGATAGCTAAAATAAATGGCCTGTCAGGTTTACTGACCAATACTTCTGCCTTTAGAAGACTTAGACATGAAACTTTAAGATTTGTCCAAATGTTGATGGTCAGACTCTTGATAAATGATTGCACTTGGGCACCTTTACTGACCAATTTTTCAAACCTTAGAATACTAAGACACGAAAAACAAGATTGCTGATGGTTTTAATTAATTGAATGCTTTGATAAACGACTGACCTTGCTGCTTAATTGACCCATTT